CTTGATTTTCCCTGAATGGTGAGTTGGCTTTCTTTCATTGGTTCAACTATGGCAGATAAACGGCATCGTTTTGATGCGACTTAATTGGTGCGTGATCACAAGGGTATAACTGTAAACCGAAGATATAAGAGGAGAAACTGATCCTCTCTGGCGCATTGATCGGTTTCTCTTTCGCCTATCTCCCCTTCACGACGCAGATCCGAGTGGAAGAGTCTCTCTCTCTCTGTAGGACGAAAGCTCTGCATCTGTAGCTAGCGACAACTCTGTAGCAGGTTAATGTTTCTTCCCTCGTTTTCCGTGGAAAACTTCATCCTTTTTTCCCTGTGATTCGCTTTGGTGATTGTCGATGAGTGATCCGATATTAGGCTTTTTTGCTCTAGTTTGATCTCTATCTACGGATTTGGTTGAGCTTGTTCGTGGGTCCAACTTGAAATTGTGGAATTTGCGTTAGATGATCTGATTTTCTATGCTTTGTAGACCGCGTATGGTCTTCATTATCGTGAATGGAATTTTACTACGGTTGAAAAACCCCATATTGTTCCGAAGATAATGTGTATTATCATCTGCCGATACCAATACTCTCTCCATTCATTTTCGTCTTTCTTGGGCATTCATTTTTTTTATCAGGGTTATGCATAATTATGTATAAAATGGTAGTAAATTTTGTAGTTTGTTGTTCTACCTGTTGCTGTAGGGTTTGAGCTGCTGAAGTATCCATGGATCAGGCAGAATTGACCACGGAGCAGGTTGGTGATGTGATGCTATGTAACTTGATTTGCTGACTCTTGATGCAATTATTTGTTTTTTTTCCTTTTGCTTATGTATGCAGATCAAACCCTATAAATGCAGTTTGTAGAATATCAGAAAGTGTCAATTGACATAGGAATCTTGGTTTCGTAGGGTGTGATGGAACTTATGTTTTGTTCCTGTCTCTGGAACCCTCTTCACTCTTATGGCCTGAAATCTGAATGCGATTATTTGTCATAGAATTGAGCAGATCTTTAAAGTTCTTTACCTTTTTTTGTTAAAAATTTCGTTATTGTCAATGTATTTTTAAGTTGAGCACTGTTGCGATAATGTATACGCTAGTTTTTATTTCTCTAATGTTAATGTGAATGTAATTCTTGGGTCAATATTATTTTGCAATGCTGCAGATTTTGTGCTCCTAATTTATTTTCACAAAATGCAATCTCTTCATTATTTTGTGATGCAGGTCTTGAAAAGGGATATTCCATGGGAGGCGTACATGACAACTAAACTGATTTCGGGGACAGGTCTCCAGCTGTTAAGGCGATATGATAAAAAATCCGAAAGCGCCAGAGCACAGTTGTTGGATGAAGTAAGGGTTCTACCGTTCTTTTCCACATATTTTGTTTTACGGGAGACTTCAAGTAACTCTGTTATCTGTGGCGGTGATACTGTTTTTCTCTAGCATCAGTTTCTCTATAAAGTTGGCACGCATAATTAAATAATGGCCTCGTGTTTGTTATGCCATCTTAGAAATGATATGTGGGTATTGTTAATGCAGGATGGTCCAGCTTATGTTCATCTGTTTGTTAGCATTTTGCGCGATATATTCAAAGAAGAAACAGTTGAATATGTTTTGGCTTTGATTTACGAAATGCTCTCAGGTACATGAATCCTGAATCTTGATTTCATAAATCTTGTTTTTTTCCCTCTCTTTTTGGCTAAATAATGTATTGGTTACTTATCATGGCAGCTAACCCGAAGCGAGCTCTATTATTTCATGACAAATCTTTGGCAAATGAGGATACTTATGAGCCTTTCTTAAGTTAAGTCCCTATGCAAAACTTTTGTGACTTTAACTAGCTCCATCTTATGTGTTCTTTGTCACCTTTTTGGAGCTATTGTCTATCTCCGTTGATTGAGTATGTCAGTTTTTCCAGCATTTGCACTTAGCCTAATGCTTGTGATAATTAGTTCATTCTTTAACATGATTTTTAACTTTTAGATGCAGCCTCACTATTTTTTCTCGTATTCTGCTGTTCATAGCTATGTTATCAGTGGCTCTGACTTTTCGCAGTGAGAAACCGATTTTTTTTTAATGTAAATTTATCAGCCTATTTACGCAAACTAATTATTTTTGTGTAAATATCTCTACCTATTTGGTTTAGCACAAGATTTCTTCCTTACTTCCCAATTGCAACTTTGGCTATTCTGTCGCTTGGAAGTGATTTATGTTTCATCTAATCTATATTTTTTCGAAAGAAAGATGAAAATATGTAAAGTTTTGGACAGGGAACTGGTATGCAGTTATACTATTGATTCCTTCTGTTTACTTGTCATCAAAAGCATTAAACTAATCGAGTCTGTCTTCTTTCAGGCTGCTTTGGAAAGGCAATTGGTTCATTCAAGAAAAAAGCTGCGTGATTCTTGCTTGGATCATAAGGTATTTTAAAGGTTAGATGCTTTGTGATTTTTACTGTTTATTGTTTTGAATAATGTACCTGGCTTACGACATAGTTCAAATGGGGAACCATTTCTCGTTTCTCAATACACAGTGCTAGGCCAAAAACCGAAAATGGTATTATCGCTAATGGAGAAGCTTCAGATTCCAAGAAACCTATTACTACAATTGATGATGTGCTCAAGGGGCTGGTGGAATGGCTTTGTGCTCAGGTTCTCTCTCTCTCATGCATGTGTGTTCGGCCGTGCTATGGTCCAAGCTTAAGACATCTCACTGTTGTAGACATTGCACAGAGTTTCTATACTAAGTTCCATTGTTTTGAGCGTGGAAATATTTAGTTAGAAGTTTTGCGAGCTTGGAGGACCCCTTTTGAAATAGCTTTAGATGTTTGTCATGGAAGCGTAGTCATGATCCTTGTTTTATATGCAGCTGAGGCAACCTTCCCATCCTACTCGTGGTGTTCCTATTGCGATAAGCTGCCTGGCATCCTTGCTCAAGGAACATGTGGTCAGATCGTCATTTGTTCAGGCAGATGGAGTGAAGTTGCTTGTCCCTTTTATTTCCCCAGCATCCACTCAGCAGTCTATTCAGGTAACTGTTCTTCTGGAGGCCTTTTTCAGTAAGAAGGTCCATGACAGCAATACTATACTTAGAGTGCTGCAGTTTTTCGCTTAATCCAAGCCTTTGGCCGAAAAAATTGGTTGCAAGTCTCTTTTTTGTTTCAATGATTTGTGTGCGTTGTTTCTATGTTAGTTTCCTAATTAAATGGTAGAATGTTTTGCTTTTCAACTTGCTAAATTTCTCTCGTGCCATATATTTTCTCTTGCATTCGTGGTTTTTAACTTGCTAAACATGCTGTGGGCAGCTTCTCTATGAAGCGTGTCTGTGCATCTGGCTTCTTTCCTATTATGAGCCTGCAATTGAGTTCTTGGCGACATCTAGGACACTTCAAAGGCTCACCGAAGTTGTAAAGAGCTCAACTAAGGAGAAGGTGAGGTTAATGCATTCTGGTATCTTACAGACTGAAATGGTACCTTACAAATAAACACTACCTCTGCAAACTGCAGAGGCTTACATGTTCATAGCTGAAATGACGTGCATGCCATCATTTGTTTGTTTCCGCATTGGATCTTGACTGCAGGCATTTGCTTTTTCAGGTCGTCAGGGTGGTTATCTTGACTTTTAGGAACTTGCTTCCAAAAGTTACATTTGGTGCCCAGATGGTCGATCTTGGACTCCCACATATTGTCGCCAGTTTGAGAACTCAAGCATGGAGCGACGAGGTAATAACATTCTTTATATTGCATTCGCTCAATGGACAAAACTGATAAATGCTTATACATTTTCGGTTCTTGCTCTCTCTTTTTGTTAAATTGTTTGGTCGGTATTAATTCCTTTTAATTTCGGGCTTCTCAAGGATTTACTGGAAGCACTGAATCAACTCGAAGAAGGCTTGAAAGATAACATCCGGAAATCGAGTTCCTTTGACAAGTACAAGCAAGAGGTTCTTCTCGGCCATCTTGACTGGACTCCGATGCACAAGGACCCTGCTTTCTGGCGCGAGAACATCGTAAACTTCGAGGGGAATGACTTCCAGGTACTTTTGAAAAAACAATTACCTCGAAAGATATTTCAGTTTTTTTTTTTTACAATGCCTCTTTCGTCACGCAGATTCTCAGGGTCCTCATCACGATCCTGGAGACGTCCAGCGATCCAAGAACGTTGGCGGTGGCATGCTTTGATATCTCGCAGTTCATACAGTTCCATCCGGCGGGCAGAGTAATTGTGAACGACCTCAAGGCGAAAGAGCGGGTGATGAAACTGATGAGCCACGAGAACGTGGAAGTAACGAAAAACGCCCTCTTGAGCATCCAGAGGCTCCTCCTCGGCGCAAAGTACGCCAGCTTCTTGCAAGTTTGATGCCTTCATACTCGGATGCAGACAGTTTCCGTTGTGTGTGTTTTGTTCGGTCGCACTCCATAAACATAAACCTGAGAGGAACTTAGCCGCTCTTTTGTGTTTTCCCGTTATTCCCCCGGCGGCAGATGATGATGATGTTCATGGCAATGTTATGTATGTGCTTACATGATTGCTTCTTGCATTTTGTTTGTCGAAAATAAGGAAATAAAGAAAGTCCTTGACATTGGCAATATGGCTATGTATTATTATTGAATTCATTTTTATATTTGGTTCCCCTACTACTGCTTCTTTCTCCTATGGAGAGAGAGAGAGAGAGAGAGAGAGAGGTTTAATGATATCAAATCATATTTAAAAATATTATTCAAAAACGGCTTATTTGAATTTGTCTTCAAACTACTCACCGTAACCATTACCAAAACTGGCAAAATAGAAACAAAAATCCCTTCAAACCCCAACCCTGACTCACTCTCTCACGAACCACTCATTCATTACCCAACTACAGCTTGAGGAAGACGAACTCCTCCACGGCCGGGATTTCGCCGATCTTCTTCAGCGTTTCCTTGCTCGGCTGCTCGTCCACTCCTATCGCCATCACTGCTTGCTTCCTCGGGGCGATCCTCCCCACGCTCATGAAGTTCACATTCACGTTCGCCTCCCCGAGAACGCTCCCAACTGTCCCGATCATCCCCGGCTGGTCCACCTGCCTGCAGAGTATGATACTCCCTTCCAGACTCACATCTACTTCGAAAGATCCCACCTTTGTCAGGTGCGGGATACCATCTTTCACCTTTCCCTCAACCCTGACTTCACCCGATTCTGACAAGGCACTGGCGAATTTCGACTCCACGCTCCCGAGCTGAACCGTGATGGCTTCGAGCGGGCTCTCGGGTGATCCGTTTAAGAGGATTCGCTCCTCCGAGATTCTGAGGCCTCTCTGTTTGGCTGTGTAATCTGCGTTGACCAGGTTGATGAACACGTCGGAGATTGGCTCGATGATTCCCTTGGTGATCATCGCTCGGAGAAGTCTGGTGTCGAGATCGTCCGTTGCTCGTGCTGAGGCGTAGGTTACTTTCACATTTTTCACGCCGCTTCCTCCGGCTACCAGTTGCACGGCCAGTCTCCCGAGTTTCTCGGCCAGTACGACGTATGGTTTCAGCTCAGTGAGAACCTGGACAATGTGATCGACGAATGCTTCAATCAATATTACCTCATGATGAATATTATACAGAAAGAAATTTACGGAGATACGACGACAAACTTCTGCATATTTACTAGAATAGCGCAAGGCTCACCTCAGCAGATTGCCAACCAAGAATCTTGGAGATATATCTCCTTTTGAGGTACTTAATCATCACAAACCTTCTTTAGATCACTTACGTGTGTTCGGATGTGATTGTTTTGCATTGGTTCCTGCAGTTCAGAGAGATAAGCTTGATCCGAGAAGTCTCAAATGCATGTTCGTGGGCTATTCGACTGATCAAAAGGGTTTTAAGTGTTATCACCCAGACACTCGACGAATATATGTCCAGCAGGAACCATTGGAGCATTGACAGCAGTAGCAGCAAGCTCTCCGTTCAAAGCTCCAACAACAGCTTCTGCAATTTCAATGGCAACTCCTTCCTGGCAAGCGAAATCTCGGGTTTAGCATTACAAGTCTGAGAAACAGACACGAGTAAATCAAAGGCATAGCTTTCTAGAGGGTTTACAGACCTGGGCCTCGACCGTGCTGGCTCCAAGATGAGGTGTTACAGTGACCCTCTCATGAAGCACCAACTTGCTGTCTTGAGGCGGTGGCTCTTTTGTGAAAACATCGAGAGCTGCCTGAGCGACAATGCCAGAATCGAGAGCTCTCACAAGTGCATCTTCGTCGATGACACCTCCACGAGCAACATTGACGATATGAACCCCTTTCTTCATCTTAGCAAAGGTTTCATCATTGAGCATCTTGGATGTTGCAGGTGTAAGGGGCATGTGCAAGGAGATGAAATCGGCGGTTGAAATGGCCTCGTCAAAACTTACGAGCTCCACACCGAGTGCTCGTGCCCGGTCTGCCGGGGCATAGGGGTCATGGGCAATGACATGCATACCTAGGCCCTTTGCCCGTCGAGCAACTTCTGATCCAACTTTACCAAAACCCAACACAGCAAGTGTCTTGCCCACAAGGGAAACACCCACATACTTGTTCCTCTTCCACTCTCCTACATTGTATACAACACATCCGAATCAAATCACAAGGTTGGTTTTTCCAGAATGCAAATGAAAACCAAGATCCTCAGAAAACACATGTAGACACACAGTCCATAAAAAAAACTGATCGCAGATCCAACCTCAGCACCTTCGGATGTTCAAAAGACAAAGAAATGATCAAGTCCCTTCCCAATGTTTCGAGAGGAACAACCAAAAAAAGATCTAGTTAACGTCACTTTCCTCATATTCTGATTCTCCAATATTGGAAGCGAAATTGAATGTTCTCATATAAATCCCGCACAACAAGGCGAAGTGCAAGGAAAAAGAAAAGTTCTTGTGATTTGTATTTGTAAAATTCCAGTTCCCATCAATCTGAGATATCGAACAGACAATAATATCCTCCCGAACGATTAAAGGCAAGTTATGAGAACTGAGGAAAATGAAAACACTGACCAGCCTTGACGGAAGCATCAGCTTGAGCGACGTTCCTTGCCATGGCAGCCAAAAGCGCAATCCCGTGCTCTGCGGCGGCGATCGTGTTCGCCGTTGGCGCGTTGACAACCAAACAACCGAACTCCGTCGCCGCGCTCAGATCCACGTTGTCGATCCCGACACCGGCGCGTCCGACCACCTTGAGCCGTCCACGGGACGATTCAAACACCTCGCGACCGACCTTGGTCCCGCTCCTCACGATCAGCGCGTCGCAGAGCGAGATCTTCGTGTTCAGCTCCTCCGGAGTCATGTTAAACGAGCAGTCGACATTCGCGAACTCCTCCAGGAGCTTGACCCCGGCCTCGCCGAGCTTCTCCGCCACGAGGATTGTCGGCTTCGCTCCTCCATCTCCAGCGGAGCATGTCACGAGGATCAGCCGCCGCCGAGGGATTTCGCGTCCCCGGGATGAAAATGCGACGGAGAAGGCGGACGGGAGAGGCGATTTTGAGGAGAGAGACGAAATCCTGAGTGGCTTGGCAACAGTGGATGAGGAGGTGGCGGCGGCAGCGGCGGAGAACATTTCTGCGACGGTGTAGAGGTCGGAGTATCGGTGCAAGTAAAGGTTGGTTTGTAGGAGAAATAGATCTAAGGTTGGCGGGTTTTATAGTCGGCGTAAGGGTTCGGTGATCCCTCCAGGGACAGATCGGGAAAGGCGATGAAATCTCACGCGCATTTGGTCGCGTGGATTTCACTCCCCAGCGCGAGAGGTGTTTTTTTCTTTTTTGGAAAATGAAGCGTTAGTAATCACAAAATAAATTAAAATTAAAAATTAAAGAAATAATAACAATCTGATCTTACTTATAAAAACCCAGTCTACATTACCCCATATATTCCTATTTCGTATTTTCATTCTATATAGAAGTTGTCTGTGATTTATCTTAACTTCATTTTAGTTTATACGATTTGTAAGTCACCGTATATATATTTAAAAAAAAGTTGTTTATTGCACAATAAAAATTTAACAATTAAATATTACTATGATAATTTTCTCTTTCGATTAGAAACATTATATATATATATATATATGTGTGTGTGTGAGAGAGAGAGGAATATTCCGAGGGATATGGTATTGGAGTGTTAATATAGCACGTGAAAGAATTGCATGTTCGGCTGCAACTGCTTAAAGATGCATGGTAGGTCGAACCTCCAAACACCCATTCTCTTGCAATTTGCATTACATTACGATTTCATGCGCGTAGCTATTTTGACTGTCTTTATTTTCATACAAAAATCAAATCCACTTGCAAACAATTTTTTTTTTTTAGATGGGCGTTTTCCAATTTACATTTAAAAAAAAAAAAGAAACCCAATTGGAATCCTAATAATGACTGACTTCAATCTAATTCTATCCGGTCATTAAATCCCGGTTGAGAGCGGATTGAAAGGCTCTGACGAACCCCAGCAAACCCTCTCTCTCAGCCAGAGACTCTCCCTTCTTTCCAGAACCCGCCTTTGTTCCCAAGAATTCAAAAAGTTTCAGCCTTTTTTTTAACTGTTTGTTTTAAACAGTTGTGAATCCATAAATCACCAAACGCAACGCACAGTGAATTGTTATATTATTAATAAATATTGTTATGCATAGATTGTAAATTGTTAAAATAATTTATTTAATATTAATAGTCTATTGGTATTATTTTTTGGAGTAATTTTATATTCTAATTACGTAGGTTTCTGTCGGTATTTATTCACTTTGGCATTAGAAGTAGAAGAGGTATTGTCCAAAACGTGTACATGCGTTTCCTTGTACGATTTCAATGTCTCAGTCATTAGGCCATGAGTTTGTGTTTATATATATATTTTATAACGGAGTATCCTATCTACTACCGTTCAAACGCGCTGAATAGATAAACTTTCGAACTAAGGCCAACCTTTGTATATAGAATTTATTGACCCAGAAATTACGTATCTACCCACCAAGTGGAATCGAACACTCAAGTTTGAGATCCTCAGATTGACCACTAGACTACCCTATTAGTGGACATGGGCTCGACACGTCACAAGTTCAAGACCACCGAAACTCAAGCTCCACAGATTTTCCAATCCAGTCTGCAATCTCGGAATAATATTTGCAGATCAACAATCTTCCCTTCCTTGCAAGATTCAGATCTCCCTTTCCGTCATGATTTCCCCTTTGTATGCCACTTTCCTTTTCTTCATTTTTCCTGTTCTTCTCTATTCTCATTGTTTCTCGACTGTATATATGTATGTCTTGGCAAACTGATGAATCAGACTCGCATATTATCTTTGAATCCTCTCTTGTTTTAGTCTCTTGATCTGATTTTCTATATGGTATCAGAGCATTGATCCATTCTCTCTCAATATTTTTTTTTCTCTGCTTCATCTATTCTGTTTCAATGGAAACTCCCTCGCAAAGACTGATTCCGATGATTTTTTCCGGCAATAACTACTCTATTTGGTCCAAAGCAGCCAAAACCACTCTCTGCAGTCGTGGCCTCTGGGAGCATATCAAACCGTTGACTCCAACGATGGCAACTCAAGAGGATGGTTCGACGGTTCCTGTCGAAAAATCAGATAAGGAGAAAGCTACATGGTTTCAGGAAGACCAACTTGTCCTTTCCCTGATTCATAGCTCTCTTGATGCTGCCATTCTCTCTACCTACATTCACAAAGACACAGCAAAAGATCTGTGGGATACCCTTGAAGGGGTTTATGGAAACCTGTCAAATTCCAGCAGGATATATGAGATTAAAAAATCTCTCCATTCCATTCAGCAAAAGGGAAAGCCCTTTAATAACCTTCTTGGCGAACTCAGTGCCCTATGGGCAGAACTTGAAGAACTTCGCCCAGTTTCCATTGATATGTCGATCATCACCAAACGCATTGAGCAAGACAAGGTTTATACTCTCCTGCTCTCTCTGGATGGTACTTATGGTGACCTGATCCATCACGTTCTCCGTCAGTCCGAGCTACCCTCGCTCAATGAAGTGTGTATGCTGATCAAGCGTGAGGAAGGAGACCGACATCTCTTTCAAGGTAATCTCGAACTTGCTCATTTCCGTAAAGCACATTATCCCTCTCGCGACAAGAAACCTGTGTTGTGTGACCACTGCAAAAAGCCTGGCCATGTCAAGGACAAGTGCTGGATCTTGCACCCACATCTCAGGCCTACCAAGTTTCGCGATCAGGCTCCTCTTTCTCGACATGTGGCTCTGACTTCTGCAACATCCGAGATGTTTTCGGAAGCAGAGTTTAAGACGCTGAAACAACTGATCCAGTCGGCTTCCGAATCTGGTAACACTCCCTCTGCACATTTTTCTTCTTCTTCGCCTGTTATTATTGATTCAGGCGCTACAAACCATATGTTCCATGAGGCTGATTTGTTCGAATCTCTAGAAAAACGTTATGGGGTTGTCTCTAGCTAATGGCATTCACTCGACTATTCATGGACAGGGAACTATTCGATTATTTGACAAGGATATAAAAGCCTTATATGTTCCCGACTTTAAAACTAACCTGTTCTCTATTCCGAAACTCACCTCGGATTTGAATTGCAAGGCAATTTTCGATGCTAACGACGTTTTTTTCCAGGATACTAAGACGGGAGCAATCTTTGGTAAAGGATCTCTCAAGAACAACCTCTATCTCCTTGATCGTTTCCATTTGTCTTCTGAAGTTGCACTTTCTGCTATTTGGCATGCACGTTTAGGACATCCGCATCAACAAGTTTTACGTTTATTATTCCCCGACGAGCCTAGTTCCATTGACTTGTGTGAGGCTTGTACCTTGGGAAAGCATTGTAGAACTTCATTTCCTATTTCTACTACTATATATGAGCATTGTTTTGATCTTGTTCACTCGGATGTTTGGACCGCGCCTTGTCTTTCTCGTGATTCACATAAGTACTTTGTTACGTTTATTGACGACAAATCTAAATACACTTGGATCACATTGCTAAAATCAAAAAAAGATGTCTTCGATGCTTTCAAGAATTTTCATGCTTATGTCTCTAATCATTTTAATGCCAAGATCAAGATTTTTAGGTCCGATAACGGAGGAGAATACCTTAGCCATCGCTTCCAGTCCTTCATTGCTGATAACAGCATTCTCCATCAAAAGACTTGTCCTCACACACCGCAACAAAATGGTGTGGCGGAACGAAAAAACCGACACATCTTGGACATCACCCGAACGATCATGTTCCACCGAAATGTTCCTAAACGGTTTTGGAGTGATGTTGTTCCTACAGCTTGCTATCTCATCAATCGATTGCCAACCAAGAATCTTGGAGATATATCTCCTTTTGAGGTACTTAATCATCACAAACCTTCTTTAGATCACTTACGTGTGTTCGGATGTGATTGTTTTGCATTGGTTCCTGCAGTTCAGAGAGATAAGCTTGATCCGAGAAGTCTCAAATGCATGTTCGTGGGCTATTCGACTGATCAAAAGGGTTTTAAGTGTTATCACCCAGACACTCGACGAATATATGTCTCTCGTGATGTTCGGTTCGATGAAAGTCGGAGCTTCTATCAAGACTCTGTTTCTTCAGACTTGGACATGTTTGCATACTCACCGAGCTACGACACAACTCTTGAAGGCATCATCCAGTCTGTCCGCCGGAAGAATGCTGACACTATCGAACAAACTGCTGGGATTAACACCGAAACTCCCCTTCCCATGGCTACGCCTGAGGGGGAACCTGTTTGTGGGCTTCTACCGGACCTGATGGAACCTGAACACGTTCTGCCATCTCAGGATGACACCGCCACTCAAGCTCCACAGATCCATGTTGTTCTCGACGAGACTGTCTTCCCTGATGATGAGTTTACAAGTTCTCTTGGCATTGACAGCAATGATGAACAGACTTCCCTTGTCCCTGTTTTGCCTCGAAGGAGTGTTCGACTTCAAGAGAAGCGTTTGGCTCAGCTTCAACGAGATCACCATGACTCGGAGGCGGGACATCAAGCGGTACTTTATCCCTTACATGATTATTATTCTCTATCTCATCTTGATTTCCATGAGCAAGCCTTCTTTAGTGGGTTAGACAACTCCGATGATCCCTGCACTTATGAGGAGGCCAAAGATCTACCTGAGTGGCAACGAGCCATGACTGATGAACTACAGACTATGCACAAGAATGGGACTTGGGAACCAGCGGTGTTACCTAAAGACAAGAAGGCCGTGGGATGCAAATGGGTCTTCAAAACCAAGTTTCGGAGTGATGGTAGTATCGAACGCCATAAAGCACGACTTGTGGCCAAGGGATTCACACAAACTTACGGGTAAGACTATACCGAAACCTTTGCTCCTGTTGCTAAACTCTCTACTGTTCGTGTTTTGTTTTCTCTGGCTGTTAATCTTGATTGGCCTCTTTGGCAGATGGACGTTAAGAACGCCTTCCTTCAAGGAGACTTAGACGAAGAAATTTACATGAAGCCACCTTCCGGATACGAACTCGATAAGGGACTAGTGTGTCGTCTAAAGAAGTCTATCTATGGCCTTAAACAGTCCCCTCGGGCATGGTACCAAAAGTTACACGATGCTTTACTCGCATATGGTTTTACTCGGAGTAACTCCGATCATTCTCTCTTTATTCTTTCTCATTCCCATGGTATTGTTGTTTTGCTTATTTATGTCGATGATATTATTCTCACGGGCGCCTCTTCTCAAGGGATCGCCGAAACTAAAGCTTATTTGCAGGATACATTTGACATTAAAGATCTTGGCGAGCTTGGTTACTTTCTTGGCGTTGAAGTTTTACGATCTCCAAAGGGGTTGTTTTTATCACAACGCAAGTATACCCTTGACTTGCTTAGCACGGCAGGCAAACTCGGTGTCAAGCCTTCCCCAACACCTCTTGAGAGCAACTTCAAAGACATCTCGGATTCTTCATTGTTTCCCGACATTGAGCGCTTCCGTCGTATAGTAGGTAAGCTTATTTACTTGACTCTCACTCGTCCTGACTTGAGTTTTGCGGTGAACCAGGTTAGTCAATGGATGCATGCCCCCACACAACATCATTGGCATATGGTCGAACGCATTATTCGATATCTTAAAGGCTCGCCGGGCAAGGGGATTTGGATGACTAAGAACAACCACACCACCATTGTCGGCTATTGTGACGTAGATTGGGCTGGTGACAAAGGCGACCGCAAGTCAACTACCGGTTATTGTACCTTCCTTGGTGGAAACTTGGTGACTTGGCGGAGTAAGAAGCAATCCGTTGTGGCTAGGTCGAGCGCCGAAGCTGAATATCGAGCTATGGCCAACACCACTTCTGAACTTATGTGGCTACGTACTCTTCTCTCCGAGCTTGGTATCTCTTCTTCATCAGCCATTCCGCTCCATTGCGATAATCAGGCAGCTATCCATATCGCAACAAATCCCGTATTTCATGAACGTACTAAGCACATCGAGGTCGACTACCACTTCGTACGGGAGAAGGTTCTCAACGGTCTCATCTCCCTCACATACACACCGAGCAAGGACCAACTCGCAGACATGTTCACCAAGGCAACCACTAAGGACATACTTCACACTCTCTTGTCCAAGCTTGGTATGCTCGATCCTCACATTCCAAGCTTGAGGGGGAATATTAGTGGACATGGGCTCGACACGTCACAAGTTCAAGACCACCGAAACTCAAGCTCCACAGATTTTCCAATCCAGTCTGCAATCTCGGAATAATATTTGCAGATCAACAATCTTCCCTTCCTTGCAAGATTCGGATCTCCCTTTCCGTCATGATTTCCCCTTTGTATGCCACTTTCCTTTTCTTCATTTTTCCTGTTCTTCTCTATTCTCATTGTTTCTCGACTGTATATATGTATGTCTTGGCAAACTGATGAATCAGACTCGCATATTATCTTTGAATCCTCTCTTGTTTTAGTCTCTTGATCTGATTTTCTATATACCCGATGGTGGATAAATGTATATATATATATGTATGTATATGCGTGGATTCATCCTCTTGATAAATCAGGCGAACCTTGCAAATCAGTTCAGGATTCATGGCATTAACATTATTTAGAAAGATACACGTAGGTGTGTCGTGGTGGCTCTTGGAGATATATATGATATGAGATCACCCGTAGGTTTGTGTCGAGAATCACACATTGCTTCCGGCGACATCGACGACGAATCTGTACCGTACGTCATTCTTCTCGAGCCTTTGAACCGCAGTGTTCACATAATCCATCTTCACAACTTCGATCATCGAAGTTAAACCCTTCTCCTTGCAGAACTCGAGCATCTCCTCTGTTTCCTTCATGCTCCCTATGAAACTCCCTGTGATAATCTTCCTCCCTAACCCACGTTTTATTTAATTACAGTCCTTAATCCACGATTAAGTTTATGATTTAATCCAAACACTGCCACTCACCGAGCATGACCATGGGATTGAGAAACTGCAGAGGAGTGTTGATCACACCCATGAGAATGAGCTTGCCGTCAAGCCTCAGCAATGACAGGTACGGCTCGAGGGAATGATGGGCGGGCACCGTGTCGATGATGTAGTCGAGAGAATCCGCTAATCCGTGCATCTTAGAAGCGTCGGATCCGATCACATAATCGTCGGCTCCGAGATCTTCGAGCGCTTCTCGTCTCTTCTTGTCGGATGAGCTGATGACAGTGACGTGGTGACCCATCGCTTTGGCTATCTTCACACCCATGTGTCCGACGCCGCCTAACCCTAGAATCCCTCCCCTTAGGCTCGGCTTTTTCAGGCCGAAGTGGCGAAGAGGACTGTACACCGTTACGCCCGCGCATAGCAACGGCGCCGCCTGGTCCGCCGCCATTCCCTCGGGTATCTTCACCACAAACCTACAACCAATACAATACCCTCGTATTTAAAGTGGTTAGTAATATTGTTAATGGTTAGAATAAGTTTTTTTTTTTAATTTGAAAATAATAGATGAGAGTTTAATAAATAGTTTTTAAAAAAAGGTTTAATAAATAGTAGTTTTAGCCGAATTTTTCTTGATTTTACAAATTTTATGAAAATATATCCCGATAATATGAGAGATATTGTATAGGCAACGTACTTTTGGTGGACGACGGTGGCGGAGGCGAAACCGCCTTGGGTGGGGCTGCCGTCGAAATAGACGTCGCTGTAGCTCCAAATCTTCTCGGGACAGTACTGTTCCATGTCTCGGTGGCATGGACCGCAGTTCCCACAGCTTCCGACCAAACAGCCCACTCCCACTATGTCACCTACCGTGAACCTGCTCACACCTGATCCCACCTCCTCCACTTCCCCTACCACCTCGTGCCTGAAACCCACCCAGCCATCCACACAATTAAACACGTGCGCATATACATATATATATATATATATTTAGGTATGTATGTATGTATGTACATGCAGAGACTTAGATTTTGAGAAGTTAAGCAAAAAAATCTTAAAAGGGTGTTGAAGAGAGAACGTACCCAGGAACCATTGGGTAAAGAGCCTTGCCATGATCATTCCTAGCGTGATGAATATCAGTGTGACATATTCCACAGCATATGATTCTTATGTACACATCATCAGGCCCTGTGACCTAGGTAGCTTCTCGATAATATATATATTTCACAGAATCAAATCAAATAAAAGAAAAAGAAAAATAATACCTAAGAGTGTATGTGTAAGGCGAGAGGAACCCAGAAGAATCTCTTGCAGCCCACCCTGTGGTTTTCCTCTCTCCTTCATGCCTTCCCATCTCTCTCTCTCGTTAGAAGTTTTTGTTTTGATATTTTAGAGGCACTACATGTGTGTATATATATATATAACCTATAGTTTTTTGTGCATTATAGTTTGGACATTTTCAATGTTAATTAACTTAATTAGTTTATACATTTTAATGCAGATTAATCAAAGATTGATTAATTTGTATTAGCCGACAAATTAAAAAGGAAGACTTTTAGAAAGGTTAAATTAAGTTTTAATTAAGCAAACCATTCTATATTAATACATGAACCTGGTAAGCATCCAATATGATGGTTATGGTTCTCTAATAACTAAAGACATCTATCTAATACATGTCCATAATTCATGCACCTTAATTATAACGAAGGAAAATTTTCTTGTTAAATTTTATTTTCTGAGAATCTTATAAAACCCTTCACAATATATACATATAATTACAAATAAAGAAATAAATTTGTAACGATTTGCTAAATGAATACCATATCATACTTCCATCTAAAAATATTTGATTTCAATTAATTAATAGTTATATATCAATTAACTAATAGTTAGTATCAGTCATTAATAATTATATATCAAATAATAAAAAATGAAAAATTTAATTTTTTAAAATTGATATAATTTACATATAATCAAAATAAATTAGCATTTATATTAATTAGTATAAGATATCGAATCGGACTATTCTTATTAATGGATTTTCCGTATTTAAGAAGGCAAATGAGCAAATAAGGAACCAGAAAAGGGCAAATATGTCTGGTCATTTTGTACACGTGGATTCGAAAGGATTTGGTGAACTGAATTGCAAGTCGTGATCTGGTGTTCCTCATTTTCTTAAGATACTCTTTCGGATTGCGCCATGTCACGTGTGTGCGTAACATCTCATACCTGCCCCAGAAATGCTGACAAAAGCTGACGTCACGCCAAATTGGAACAAAAAAAACTACATAAAACATTTTCATAATATAATTAATTCTCACAATATCATATAATCATATTAGCAAAATAATTAATTCTAATTACAATAATGCATCTGGATATATATATTAAGCACTGGAATGAGTCGGTGTTCATTAAAAATATTATGAATTAGCATTTGCTATGCTCTACGTTTGACTATTCTGATAGTGGGCCTAATTTGGGCCAGAAATTGAAAGCCCAAAGATGATCAACACTCCAAGTCAACGGCCGTGATAATCTGAAGGATCAAATATCCCCTACGGTCAACGACTGCGATCAACGGAAGGATCAAATATTCCATAGGGCGCACCGCACTGGAACATCGCGAAGAGATCAGTGCTCAATTCCCACCTTAAACCCTAGCAGAAACCTCATTCCACCTCTCCACCGTGAAAACAGAAATCGGAAAATGGCTTGGCGCAGCGCCGGATCTGTTGGCCGTTCCTTCGCCTCCGCCGCTACGAGAGTTCCGTCACTCCGCTCTCCTCCGGCGGCGCTCCCCCGCCTCCGTCCTCCTCAATCCTCCACGCCCCGTCGCCGATTCGCCTCTTTCTCTCCTTCCAGGTTCCGACAGTTCTCCCTCTCCGTGATATTCTCTACCCGTAGATTCTTCCGATGAATATTGTCTTCTCACGTTATGTCTTGTTAGAGGTGTTTCGTGAATGCCTTGTGACCTGTTCAGAGAAGTTTCATGCGCTCGGGTTCATTCTCTTGCTTCTGTAGGAGCCTTGGAGAGCTCGGATGCGTGCAATCGTTGCTGCCGTTGCACAGTGTGGTGTCCAGCTTGATGCTTGGAAAGATGTCTCCTTAGGGTTTCATGCAAAAGATTGACATCCAATTTTTCTTGTTTAAGTTCTCTGATCTGGAAGTTTCTGGAACATCGGTGTTCTGCTTCTTGTTTCTAGTGGAATCTTATAGGTTTGGTTGCTGTTTTCCTTTATGTGGGTGTTAAGAACATATCGGGAATGGAATTGATAGGTAGGAATGGAAAAGATTGATGATGCAAGTGGAAAGAGAGTGCTGCTGGAGTTGTAGGCTTCTTGTTTTCCAACATCTGTGTTTATCTTTTGGAAATATAATTCATTTTCTCGGCGAAAATGATATGATACATCATTAGTCCAGAGTCTCATGCCAAACTAAAATTTGCCTATAGTTGTCTGAGTCATGACGCCAATTTCGACATAGGGACCCTATTACAGAGCTTAGAGCAGCAGAGAAGAATACCTGCCTATGATTGAGGTCCATTCATCATTCATTCAAAACCCAATTTCAGTAGGGGTTTTACGTTATTGTCGTCCCACCCTTCAATGGTGTTACTTAAGCCGTGGGCCGAGTAAAAGGTGCACACTTGAGAGTTGTGTTTGTATTGATAAACCATATACTTTGGTTGTCTTGTCGCCCAAAGTAGGCTGATCCACTTTGCATTCCTTTTCTCGAAATGGGCAACTTTGTTTTGAAGATACGAATTCATTGCCCCGACACTCAAAACGACGGGCAAACTAGACATATGTAACTCGTGAATGTTTTTTTATATATAATCATTCAAAGCTGTGGGAATCTACTCAATCTACGCAGGGTTTTTAAGCTTGTACTGGCAATTGTTTATGGAATGCAGGTACTTGAAGCACGCCATGGAGCGCCAGAGTTTGATGCGTGAAGCGGTGGGGAGTAAGTAAAGGGGTGTCCGGAGAAGAACACATTCGTTCTGTTCAATCAGTAAGACAAACTTAATAACAAAGACCATTTGCTTGAAAGAGCACGACATGTGGTTCTTCACTCTTTTAGCTGTAGAGTTATGTTTTTTTTTTAATTTTTTTTTTGGATATTTCATGTATTTTATTTTCATGATTGTCTGTTTTCTGAACATATATATTGTTTCTTATATTCAACGCCGTTACAAAAAAAATCTTGTAATCAATTTTCGCTCAAGTTAAAGACATCTATCTAATACATGTCCATAATAATTCATGCACCTTAATTATAATGAGGGAAAATTTTTCTTGTTAAATTTTATTTTTTGAGAATCTTATAAAACCCTTCATATTATATACGTATAATAAAATAAAATAAAAAATAAATTCGTAACGATTTGCTAAATGAATATCATATCATACTTCTATCTAAATATATCGGATTTCAATTAATTAATAGTTATATATCAATTAACTAATAGTTAATATCCGCCATTATTTGTTATATATCAAATAATAAAAATTTTAATATTTTAATTTTTAAAATTTGATATAATTTACATATTATCATAATAAATGAGCATTCATATATTAATTAGCATAAGATATCGAATCAGAATATTCTTATTCATGGATTTTCCGTATTTAATAAGGAACCAGGGAAGGGCAAAAATGTCATCAAACATGAAAAAAATTGGCAGTTTGTACACGTGGATTCGAAAGGGTTTTGGGAACTGACATAATGAGTCCATGACATTGCAGATTGCAATCTGGTGTTCCTCATTTTGTTAAGGTACTCTTTCAGATTGCGCCATGTGTACACCTGGGTTCCCGCCCCAGAAATGCTGACAAGAGCTGACGTCATGTCTTCGAACAACAAGAAAGATTTTCGTAAAGATCATGTTATATAATTAATTTAGTTATAATAGAAAATTAATTAGCTCTCATTATAATAATGCATATATATATATATATATATAACGTCATGTCTTCGAACAACAAGAAAGATTTTCGTAAAGATCATGTTATATAATTAATTTAGTTATAATAGAAAATTAATTAGCTCTCATTATAATAATGCATATATATATATATATATATATATATATATATTTTAAAAGCATCGGAATGAGTTAGTATTCATTAAAAAATATTATGAATGAGTATTTTGATTGCTCTAACGCTGGACTATTTCTGATTATGGGCCCAATTTGGGCCGTAAAATGAAACAGCCCATAGATGATAAACACTCTTCGAATCAACGGCTGCGATCAACTAAATGATCCAATATGAGAAGAAGGAAGCACAGGAACATGCAAATTGTTATATTGCTTTGAAGATTGTGGTCTGAGTCCGGAAGATTCTATTATGAGTTCCTCGTGCTAGAAACCAGTGCCTTTGTTTTGCAATGACGCCTGTCTATTCTGGTTGAGCTTTTGACATGGTTTTGTGTTGCTTTTATTGAAGGAGCTGCGAGAGGTGAAGAGAAGGAACGCCGCCCTTCAAATGCAACAGTTTGTTGGGGAAGAAAAGAATGATTTGCTGGACTACTTGAGATCTCTGCAACCCGAAAAGGTTTATTTTTTTTGTAACAATTTCTGTACCTATTGCTTCAACTAGTCTAATGAATTTGTTAGTTATATCTCGTTTTCATCTCTCTCTCTCTCTCTCTCTCTCTCTAACAATCCAAACCGTGTGTTTGTAAAGGTGGCTGAGTTATCAGAACCGACGTCTCCGGAGGTAAAAGAGACGGTTCGATCAGTTGTTCACGGCCGACCTTCTTGCGACCCTCTCGCCTAAGATGCACTCTACTAAGTTGCCAACTGAAACAATAAAAGCTAAGAGCGACGACGAAGACTGTGCTGAACTTGTGGAGAACACCTCGATTCAGTTTCAGCCTCATAGCTCATTAACTCGGGACTATCTCGCTGGTCTTCTCTTCTGGTTAGATGCTTTCTTCCCATTTCTCTCGATCTCTTTATTGTTGTTTTTTGGATGGGAGTAAAGACCCTTTGGTGTTATAGATCGATGCTAACATTTGGAAGATTTTTTATGGCTGTTCTTTTGTTTTGGTAATCAGGTGCATGTTGTTAGGACACCGTGTGAGAGGTTTGGAACACCGAATGGAACTGATGGAGGTTTTGTCAATTTGACAAGCCCGTCTCACATAGGAGAAAGCTTACGACCTTAACTCGGGGAAATTTATATTATTTTGTAATTTTTAAATAAATATAAATAATAAAATAATATTTTGTAATAATATCGAATATTCATATGTATCCGCAGGTTCAGAAATAATGTACAACGAATTCCCTTGTTCTAAATTCTAATCCTTGCATTTTTTTTGTCAAATTAAATACAACAATAAAAATTAATATTTTATATATTACCCAGTAAAAACTAAACTAATTATTCATGATTTACGTATCTAAAATCCGGACTTAGATGGGCCCAGCCCATAGTGAAGCCCAAATATGTGAAACCACTCCTCTGCACAATCAGGGTTCGGCCATATATATATACACACAGCCCCTGAATCTCTAGACTCCAGAGAAGGGCTCTTTCGCTTGCCGCTTGCCGAGCACTTAGTCGAATCAGGTATCTCTCCCTTTCTCACCATTGTTTCTCTTTGAGCTTCCTCTCTTCTAAAGCTCAAGATTGCTGTCAGGATCGCGGTTTAGTGGCGGTCTTTAGTTTTTTTCCTTGATAAAATCAAGCTTCTGAGTTTCGATCTTAGCATTTGTATGGTTTTTGCTCTTCTTCTAGCATTTGCATCGTACGCTCGTTATTCTTCTAGATTCTCCATCATGCTCTTCTTCGGGTCACGAATCCATTTTTTTTCTTCAACTTTGTAGTGTTCCGGAGCTCGAGTCCTTAAATCTCTGAAGATGCAGAACGAAGAGGGTCAGATCACTGAGCTTTACATCCCCAGGAAATGGTATTACAGTGTTGTATTTTCTCTGTGCTTTGTACTTGTGAGCGTTTACAGGCCTCGATGAGTGATTTGAAGTCTTTATTCGTGGTGTATTTCCGATATTGTAGCTCAGCGACCAACAGGTTGATCACCTCAAAGGATCACGCTTCTGTCCAAATCAACATCGGTCATCTCGATGCTGATGGCATCTACACTGGCCAGTTCACCACCTTTGCTCTTTGCGGTTTTGTCCGCGCCCAGGTTCGTCTTGTCATCACCGAGCAATCCTAACTTTATTTGGATCCGAAATGGACTTTGGATCGCGGTTGTGGTTTAGAATTGGAATTAACTAGTTGTAATCTGAAGGTTTGATGATTTGCATCAATTCCTTTCTGCTTATGGTAATGCTCCGGTTCATCTTCTGCAACAATGTAATCTCTTAGCTTGAAGATAGTTACTGTTGTTATAGGAGAGTGGCACTGGGGTCATTCTCTAGTCGATCATTATGACATGCTGCCTTGTTGCCTTGATCGAACTTTGCAGGGAGATGCCGACAGTGCTATCGACAGGCTGTGGCAGAAGAAGAAGGTCGAAGCCCGGCAACAGTAATGATGTTTTTTGGGGTGTTCCTCGAGGTTAGTCTCATGAAGCATTAATTTTTTGTCTGAACTCTCTGTTTTTCATTTTCATTTGGAGAAAGTAGTTTTCTGTCTCGATCTGGAAAAAGGGTTATCTGGGATTTTCTTTGTATTGGATTTTCATGTTCAACATTGCCTTAATCCCAGATTTATTTTGGGGTCGTCCGCATGAATTTTTTCGTTTCCACTCATTTCGGTCTTTGAGTTAACTCTTGCGAAATTTGCAATAATTCACGTTTAACTGAGAAATTTGGTTTGGAATATGTTAGTGGTTGGGTACTGATAATCTTTGTGGATATGTTCTCAAGGACAAGTTTCGAGATAATTTCAATGTAATTGCCCTAAATGTCGGACAATGAAAGCGGGGATGAGAAACCAGTGGTACTAATAAGTTACCCGAACCGATCTGAATAAGCAATTTTCGGTTCGGAAATAACCAATCGGTTACTCTAATACCATAACCGACCGGGTCAGTCCGGTTGGGGTGATAGGAGAACCCAAGTTTAACTGTTAGTTTCTCAACGCAAACATGTTGCAACGTATGTTTCACGAAGACTATATTTATAATTACATTATATATGTATTTATGTTGGTATCTCCGTATGCCCATCGGAATGTAAACCCGGTTACGTAATGTAATGAAGTTCCGAATACCATGAAATATTCATATGCTAATCACTTCCTGATAAATACATGCATCATATTGACTATAACACGGAAAATTCAAAGGTCCTATTTTTATTTTATTTTGACAAATCTTCGCTTCAGTTCAGTCTACAACAAATTTTATTTCCTTCATCTATGTATTGATGAACTTTTCAATGTAGACAATATTAATCATGTGATAATATTTTTGGATTAAAAAAAAAAAATTAGATTATGAAGATTTGAGTTCTTACCCAACACGTAGATTACTCGCCTTTGTAACCCATAATTGTCATTTCTTGCAAAAAGTGTCTGGTAAATTATAGCATTTAATGTATTTTTATCTTTCTTCCCGGGGAATTTTTTTATAATAAAATTAAGAATTAAAAAGGAAAGGTAGAAGGGTTCAAACCCAAGCAACGGAAAGGCGCTAAAAACAAAACAGCAGCAGAGAAAAAGCACACACTGCCAAAAAGAACAAATGAAACAAAAATTCATAACTGCCGATAAAAAACGACGCGCAGTCTGCACAAGTACATAACGAACGGCAAAGAGTCAAGAGTCGTCTATCGTCTTCTGCACGCGGGATTCTTCTCTTTTACCAACTCTAGACTCAAACCCCTTGAAAGTTGAAACCGATCGAATCCAACGATAAACAGTTCAAGATTCTCAAAAAATCGAAAAAACCCACTATTCCTCCCAGCTGAAAAATCCCCACTTCATTTCCGTTGCAGAAGAATTCCCGACGGCGATGTTGCGAGCTCTTGTGCGGCCTCTCGAGCGGTGTTTGTACGGCGGAGACGGCTCACTCTGGCAGGCGGACTTGCGGACGTACGCCGGAGGCGATTACTCGATCGCGGTGGTTCAGGCGAACTCCAGTCTAGAGGACCAGAGTCAGGTGTTTACCTCTGCTTCGGCCACTTATGTCGGCGTCTACGACGGCCATGGCGGACCCGAAGCTTCTAGATTCGTCAACAGTCATCTCTTCCCTTTTATGCACAGTAATGATCTCAGCTCTTTCGTGTAACGGTTTCTGGGGTATTTTCCGGATTCTCTGCTTTGGCTTTGACTGTATTTTGCTGCCTCCGAATTCTCCGGCTCTGACTGTGTTTTGGGGAATTTCGATTCTTCTGGTGTATTTCTGATCTTGATCATGACAAATTCGTCAGAATTATTTACACTCCGTTGAATAGGTTCCTCATGAGTAATTTTTTTCCTTTCAATCTCAGCCATAATGGAAACACTGTTGTATACGTTGCGTAGCATCCATTTTCTGTGGTCCGTGAGCAGATTCATAGTCATAATTCTGTCGGATTATGAACTGTTTTGTGTTGAAAATTCCAGAATTTGCGAGGGAGCAAGGGGGATTATCCGAAGATGTGATTAAAAAAGCGTTTAAAGAGACCGAGGAGGAGTTTTGCCATATGGTTAAACGGACGCTGCCGATGAAACCGAAGATGGCTACGGTGGGATCGTGCTGTTTGGTGGGTGCAATCTCAGATGACACACTCTATGTAGCGAATCTCGGTGATTCGAGGGCCGTTCTTGGGAGAAAGGTTTCAGGGAATAAGGCCAAAGGGGTTGTAGCTGAACGACTGTCTACAGATCATAACGTTGCAGTCGAGGAGGTTAGAAACGAGGTTGAGGCACTTAACCCCGATGATTCCCACATCGTTGTGTACACGAATGGTGTTTGGAGGATCAAAGGCATAATTCAGGTAAAACATATGTAGCTGTCTGTTCTTGCCTGTCTGTTTAATCACTGACATCTCGTTGTGTTGAACTCCTCTGTGATTGTGGTTGCGTGATTAGGTGTTATCTCTGTTTCCATTTGCTTGTGGAGCTGAGGTTTAATCTAAACGGGGGCTTGCGATGTTCCAGGACTCCATTGTTCGACCTCCTGAACTCTGTTGTCTCATGACATGTTACATGGCAAGCCCCCGAAGCTATGAATCTGCGAGTTGTATGCTTTTTCACTGTTATTCCCACTGATTTTATGTTGCATTCTTCGATGTACTAAATTCGCCGAATGAATGTTCTTTATACCCTTTTGTTTTCTAGGTATCAAGATCGATCGGGGATGTATACTTGAAGAAACCAGAATTTTACAGGGACCCGGTTTTCCAGCGACATGGAAACCCCGTTCCTCTGCGGAGACCTGCCCTGACAGCTGAACCCTCCATTCTGGTGAGGAAGCTCAGACCACAGGACATGTTTCTCATATTCGCTTCGGATGGTCTCTGGGAACTGCTGAGCGATGAAGCAGCCGTAGAAATCGTTCTTAAACACCCAAGAGCCGTAAGTTACACTCTCTCTACTTCCCCTGAGAGCTCGGGTTCCTTTAACGTTTTCCGATACAGGGAATTGCTCGGAGACTAGTAAAGGCGGCCCTCGAGGAGGTTGCAAGGAAGCGGAAGAAGAGATACAGAGAGATAACAAAGATGGAGAGAGGGGCAAGACGCAGCTTCCATGACGACATAAGCGTGGTCGTGGTTTACCTCGACAGCCACCGCAAACCCGACATGAAGAATCTCGAGAACGGCCTTGTCACGGCCCCACCCGACATCTACTCGCCCGAGGCTGCTCCCTGCATTGTACTGTCTCGACGGCTTTGCTCGAGATAAAGGGTGAGAAAGGGGAGAATGGTGGTTCTTGTTCTTGGCGGTGATTTGTATTTATTTGTTACAGTTTCGAACGTTTTAGGGTTCGGTCGTGTAATAGTTTATGACAGTTGAAAAAGATTCCTCAGGTTTAGGGTTTCGGAAAATAATAATCTGTTCTCTTCGAGGGTTTTGTCGAATGTTGTTTTGGTTTTATATTTTGTCCTCTTCCGAATAATCGTTGTTTGTTATTTTAATATTCGAATTTTGTGCTTTTGATGCTTTACTATCTAAATTACAAAATAGCTAACACGATATTATTCATTATCTCTGTTTCTTTTAATCTCTTTTTGACAAACAATTTTAAGAATAGGAGAATATTTTTGAATAATTAAATTGTATAGGTTCATCGATCAAAAACCCAAAATACATGTACGAGAATATATATATATTTTTAAATTATTTTCGAATTTTAGCTTCATCTTATTTATTAAAAAACATAATAAAATATTGGAGTTCTTCAGCTCGGCGGGAAGAATATTCTTAGGCAATTTAAAAAGGAAAAAAAATAAATTGCAAGAAAAAGTAAATTAGTCAAATGCGAAAACGATTCTCCCTTTCCCAGCCCCTTTGATCGCTGAAAATTGGAGAAGCCCTAGACAGCACCGACCAAAGATCCGATGGAGTTCACCAGATTACGCGACGAAGATCCCACGGCGAGGATTCCGGCGGCGGCGCAGGCGAAGAGGGTGAAGGGAAGCGGCGGCGTACGGACATGGACGGTGGTGACGGCGGCGGGGGATTCGCGGCTTGAGGATGTCGGAAAGCACTCGATCATGCGTCGGACAGGTCTACCGGCTCGCGATCTCAGGGCACTTGATCCCGTCCTGTCGTATCCCTCCTCGATTCTCGGAAGAGAAAGGGCCATTGTCGTGAATCTCGAGCACATAAAGTGCATCATCACGGCGAAAGAGGTCTTCTTGCTCAATTCCACTAATCCCCTCGTCGTTCTCTTCGTCTCCGATCTCATCCAGCGAATCCAACAGGTGACCTTCTCTTTTACCATCTAGAATTTGATCACGTCTCTGTATTACTTTTTGTTTTTAATCAATCACGCGCATCGACATCAATATTGTTGTTCTTATATGAAATTCCGTACAACTCTAGATACCCAAATTATTTCATACATTTGGTGTTGAAGGTTTTCCCTGTGAATGTTTATGATCCGTGTCAAAGGCTTCAAATATGTGTGGATGGCTAATAAGGGATTTGATTTGATTCCTGTTTGTTTGGTTCATCACTTGAAAGGCAGGTGAAGGCAACGGAGTCCAAGCTAACGATGGAGTTGATGATGCAAAGTGTAGTATTAGCCCACCGGAAAATATCGATACGGCCATAGCCATTGGCCCAAAGGTGCTGCCTTTCGAATTCAAGGCGCTCGAAGCTTGTCTTGAATCAGCGTGCAGGTGCCTTGAGTCAGAGGTACATCATTTCATTACTTTCTCTCCTCGTAAATTTTGTTTTGACGGTAGAAGTGGGGACATTTTTAAGGGTATTTTAGAACCTCTGGACAGAGTAGTATTTGTTTTTAACACTCAATCTCTCATAATTGGGAAAAAAATTACAATATGCATTTTGATTGTTGAACATGAATTGAAAATGACTTCAACTAGTGTGAGATACCAATCACTGAAACGGGTGCTCTCACATTCTGTGCATTTTTAGGTGTATTTCTCTGTTTTGTAGTATGCTTATACATTGTTAAACCTTGCCCTCTTTCTTGGTGTTTTACTGCTCGGTGATCTGCTTTGTGATGAATTGACCGATGAAAATCAGTGAACAGAAGAAAAGAAGGTTAGAATTATTGACAGTCCCCATCTGCTTTACCTGGTGATAAGGCTTTAGGAATCCATCAGTTGTTCCGCCCATTCCGGATGTATCATGTGGCATTTATCCTTCGATTATTATGGATTGGTTGAAAATATGCATTTTATTTTTACTGATCTGGTGATTCCAAACATAGGTCCAAGGACCCTTACCAGGTCTCCTAAGTCTGTGGGACTATGCTTGTTACTGGTTCATTGCTAGTACATACTTGAACAGAATAAACTCTCTACCTTGATTTTTTGTGCCCCAATTTTGCATCAAAAGGGAAAAACTAAACTGATTATGTAGTTTTATAACTGATTGCTTTCGAGTTTTTTTTACTCTTTTCATTTTTGTATTAGTAACATTGCTGATGCATGTCCTTAGCATGTATTTTGGTACACAAAAACAATTGAGAAGGAACAGTTTTTTCTCTACATGCATACATACATGTAACATGTGCTTATATGGTTTTTGCACGTGTCCCCTCATGTGAAGTGAAAATGCATTTTTTCTAGACTCGGACATTGGAAGAGGAGGCATATCCAGCTTTGGATGAACTTACTTCGAAAATCAGCACGCTTAACCTCGACAGGGTCAGGCAGATTAAAAGTCGACTAGTTACACTATCTGGCCGGGTGCAGAAGGTAAGAAACCCTTGTTCATTGCCTGGTGCTCGGAGAATCTCTGACATTGTTGTAAATCAGAGTATTGCTTCTTTCATGGCATCAGGTTTCAAAGGATTATTTGAAATTTCTCTCTGGAATGTATCATGAATGCTGCTTCTGTCACGGCCTTCTGTTTTTATACTGCCATAAGAGTTGAATTTAACAAGAAATTTATCAGTTTCATGGTTCATACAAATGAATGTGTGTTGTCCATAATGCTGTTATGCCTTGCAATATCTAGGTAAGAGATGAACTTGAACATTTGCTGGATGACGATAACGACATGGCTCAAATGTACCTGACGGAAATGGCCGAATCACCAGATCAAGCATCCCTTAAAGAAGATTCTCAAGATGATGCGTCTGAATCTGATGAAGAGAGGTAAGCAAGCATTTTATCACGATCAGATTTTATCATAAGCATCACAATGATCACATACAATTTCCATTTATCTTCCTTCCTGACTCAGTCTCGTATCTAAGGCTTACTCTTCACGAATTTCATATGGCAGGGAAGATGAAATTGCATTTACAAACTCAGAGATGATCCCAATTCCTAAACCTAACATCGAAGAGCTTGAGATGCTGCTTGAAGCTTATTTTGCACAAATCGACGGGATCTTGCAAAAGCTTTCCGGCGTAAGTACCTCTCTCTGATCTACAATAACTCCAAAAAGCCGGGGAAAAAATCGTTACAAAATAATCGGATTATTGTGATCAGATGAGCGAGGACGTGGAAGACACGGAAGATTACATAAACATAATGTTGGACGACAAGCAGAATCAGCTGCTACAGATGGGAGTGATGCTTAGCACGGGGAATATGATCCTAAACGCGGGAATCGTGGTTGTAGGGTTGCTCGGGATGAACATTCATATCAGTTTATTCGACGGTAAGCCCTTACAGTTCTGGGAAACTGCGTTAGGAACGATAGTAGGATGCGTCGGTCTCTATCTCGTTGCTATCGGATGGGGTAAGAAGAAGAATCTCCTGGCACTTTGAAGTGTTTTCTGATCATAGAAACCCTACTTAGGTTTTTTTTTTGCCATGAACAAAGTTACACATGGTAATAATTGATGTTGCTATATTTTTCATTGTTTCTTATAATGGAATGTGCCCATGGTGGTGTTCAAAGCTTTGTTACATTGGCTCCTCACTTCACACACCTGCAGTATCTGTAATATCTAATGCCTTTTTAACATGTCTTGAATAAAGAGATTGTAATTTCTGTGAGGTTTTATATCGAATTCCATTTGAAGGTCGATAACAGTTGGATGAAATTAAAAATGTTGTAAAGTTAATATAACATGTAAGATGTGAAATGTACAGTTGAATGTGTATGCTTCAGTCAAGCAATGGGTTTCATTTGATTTTAAGGTTTGTTTCTAATCATTCTCTGCTTAAACACACATTTAATAGTAATTAAAATTAGATATTAGTAACACTTATCCAAAGATGGTAACTGAAGACTTGGTCTTATGAGAAATGTGTGAAATGGACAGAATTTGCTCTTTGTTTTTCCACTCAAAATTTGTCACATTAGAGAAAAAAAAAGGAATGAAAAATAAATCGAGAAGGGAAGTAATTAAACAAATGGTTAAATGTCTACTTGTACCTTCTTAATACCTACGCTATGACCAGAACTCACACACCCTTTGAAGCTTCACTACCTCAAGAACTCAACAATGGCATTTACACTTCCTCAGAGACAAACCAGAAGACTCTTCATACCCAAATTCCAGGAAAGAATTTCGGTTCAAATAATCAAATTCATGGCTCAAATGGGTAAATGGTTTCATGTGCCATGTTTTGGTTGAAACCATGTGCAAGATCTATACTCTTCAGATTCAGAAGCTCGGGAACAGATCTTCTCGAGATGTATAGGCCATTCCTCTCCAAGAACCTGAGGATTCAACTCCATGGCAGACCGAAAATCCAGCATTGATAGGTAAGATAACCTTCTTGTTGGTTGCTGCTGCTTGTTGCGGCCACTCCCAATGAACTGGCTGTTCATATCTCTCGACGGTTCATTTCCACTTTGAGAACGAGCAAAATTCAAACATGGAGCAATCAGTCTTCTCAAAAACGCATCCAATCCATTATTCAGAAGATTAGCACTGTCCATTGATATCCTTAGCCCTTCCATCTCCAACTTCCTCTCCAACCGACTCCTCAATGTTCTTGTGTCGGGTAGCTCCCCACTGCTATGACATGTCTCATGGTTGATACTACCGCTATGTATGGATGCATTGGAAAGAGACTTTCTTGCTCCGCTTCTAAGATTGATAGACACGCCGAGAGGAGCAGTAATGGGACTTCTGCTCTGAACACTCGGACTCCCCGTCATTTGTTCAACCTCTTCTCCTTCCTCCACAGAGCCGACTTCCATGGGAGGTCTACTACCTGGAGAAAGTAAATCGGTAGCACTTTGTCCCTTTGACATTGACTCGTCATTTGTTGTAGTAATACTTTGAGGTTTACCGAGTGGGCCAAGTGGACTCGGTCTGTCTCTAAACTTCCTTGACCTGCACTTGCGAGGGGAAGGAGGGAAGGGACAATCCCCATAAAGGGATCGAACATTCCTCTGATTCCAAATCCCGGATCTTACATTGTTCTCTGCTCGCTTCAGATTTCCCAGGGGAGGAGATTTGGAAACACTTGCATTCTTGATGATGGAACGAATTAGACGGTTGTGAAGAGGGATGTTCTCCCTACCGATCGTCTTAAAACAGAACCTATCGAATTCAGACTTGCTGACCCTCAAGGTAAGAAATCTACTGAGCTGATCAAAGTACTTCTCTGCTCTTTGATGCCCGATTTTCCGAAAGATGAGGGCTTTTATCTCTAAAGTATCTAACCGACCAAAACTTTGGTCTGACCCCATCTTCACCAACTTTTGCCTTAATTAAAATCTCATCCAGAACTCTCAAGAAGATCCAAGATTTGAGAGAACCAGTCCCTTCCCAATCCAAGACCCAAAATACTCCAATTCTCAAACTTTATGCTAACCTGCAACATCAGAATCGAGAATCAAACACATTCAGTAAATATGAAAAAACCAAAGTGAAGAAAACAAAGTTCAGATTGAAACCTGAGCTCAAAAGGAAAGTTAATCGTTCAACAGGTTGATAAAATCCTCTTATGTAGTAACTAAAAAGGTGAAGTCAAGACAGAACTACAAGACAACAATCGGGGGTTTCTCGCAACTCTGAGTTACAGAAACATACAAACAGAGGAAACGAAGAAGATCATTTGCGGGATCCGACTTCACGCGACGAGCTTTATCAGGAAACAGTCGAATCCCAAATCGAATTGGGATTAGAATCGAGAAGCCCAGAAAGATGATTGAACATTGAAAGAGAATGGAGTGAGTTACGAACCAGTGAGAGGGATTGACTGATTTAGCCGGGGAATTCCTCGATTTTTGCTGTTCCTGAAGCGCTTCCGAGGATATTGTGCCCTAAAGATTTTGGTTTTCCTTGTTTTTTCCGGGTCATCGATTTCGCCTTTTTTATTTTCTTTCTCCTTTTTTTTTAAATTTTTTTTATCGCAATAAAAAATCCACACATAAAAGAAACCTTATATTTCCTTTTTTTTTTTTAAATAAAAATATCTATATTCAAAACCACAAACTTAAAATTCATGTATTTAAAATTAATTAGAAACGGAAATATTATTAATCTTTTATTAAACTTTCTAATTTTATTGTAATTATTTATTATATCTTTAAATTCAGATTCAAAGAAAATATGTGTGTGTGTGTTATTGATGAAAATGTTTTACTTATTTTTTTATTATGAAGTGAAGAAATAAAATGAATTGTATATAATTTGGAAGTATTCGAACGCATTTAAAAATAAAATAAAATATAGTTACAAGGAAACTCATGTCTTAAAAAATACATTTCTAGTTTGTAAGAACTGAATTTCGGATTCGAATATTAAAAATGTTGCATGTGCCAAAGATATTGATGGCAAAATGAGCCAGGCAGTTGGCTCGTTTTTTTTATCAAGTTGGGTTGAAAAAAATAAAAGTTCAAATAAAAACGGGCCGAACGGACTAACTCATGATGAGCCCGAGCTCATCCGGACTAGCTCGGTCGGCTCGCGAACCGACTCGTGAGCTGACATTAAAAAAATATTAGGGTTTTATATTTTAATTTTTTCACTTCTTCTATTTATATAGCAAATTAAAATTCATGATATGTTGATGTTGGTGCATATTTTTCTGTTATATATTGAAGTTGCTGGTGTATGACACTTTTTATGTTGATATATTTTTTTTGTTATATTTTGATGTCGTTGGTGTATTACATTTTTTTATGTTGATCTGGTTTTGTTAATTTTTCTTGATTTAGATTTAGTTTTATTGATTGTTATATTAAATATTTTATTTTATGTTGAATAACTTCAAAATATTGTTATATAGACTTTAAATGATTAATTTTCATGTATTTTTAAATTTTTTTCGAATAATTAGATAAAAACGGGTTGGCTCGCGAGCCGACTCGGAGTTCGGACAATTTGGTCTGCGTCAGAATTTTTCTAGTTCGTAAAAAAATAGACCGAATAGACTGAACAAAAATGAACTGGCTCAAGACGAACTGGTCCGAGTCGGTCCGAGCCAACCCGTTTTACCTCACTAGCCAAAGATATAGATAGTGTTAAATGGGAGTAGTCTTCTACCAAATTCTATATGTGCAATGTTTGTCCGGTTGTTCAACCTCTGGTAATGGAGGGACAACTTCACATCTTCAGACCTTTTCTCTACATCTGAAAACCCGTGTCGTACGTTTTTGGGATATTGGATGCGGAAAAAATCTAATCCAACAATTAAAAAACTGGTTATAATTTCTCTAGCACTGAAAATTCCGAATTTGAAAATAACCAAATCAAACCCAAATTTTCATGTCCATGGGTTTTGCGAGCAGCCAACACTGGGTAGGCAATTGTTAATGGTGAAAATCAGGATTCGATAGAACCCCATATCCAGGCATGCATGATTCAGACAGAACAGAACTCGAACAAACCACAACACAAACTTCAGATTCAGATGCCGCATGATAACTAATAGTATAGGAATATGAAAGTTGAGACATAGATTGGAGGAGATAACTAAAACTTAGACCAAAATCTGAAAGGTTCAATACCTTAAAAGCACCATTAAAAAAAAGGTTCAATCCGATTCAATAACATAACTAAATGAGCCGATCCATTGATCATCATCTGCTTAATGACATCAATCGGCACTTGAATTCTTCAACGGTACTGCAGAGGGGCCAGAGGAAAACAAAAACAGATAAACGGTCCTTCCTAAAGGCATGAAAAAAGGTCAAAGAGGAACCTCGGTAAGAACACTAACTCACCTTGATGAATCCAATTTCCTTGGCATTGCTGCGGAAGCATTGTCTGCAGCAGTTCAGACCATACTTCCTGATCAACCCGTGAGAGTTTCCGCACACACGGCTATTCACAAATACATAAGAACTGGTCAGACGAAACCTACAAGCAGATTTATCCACAGCTAAAACGTCCCATATAAATAATTCTAGATTCCTTAAGAAAGGGTAATCACTAGTGATTAGTGAAGAACCCTTGGATTACAAACCAATGAGCAGACTTCACCACAAGAAAACCGATAAACAGACCTTCAAAATAATGGCTACTAATGGTCAAAGATCTTAACTAACACCATTTACAGATTTACGGATTCCTCAAAACTTATACATAACACCACGAACTTTATCAACAGATCAACCAAGCCCCATCCGCTAAGAGCATTGCCTGAATCAAAAGAAATCTTTATGGGTTTACAAAGAAAAACCAAAACGGATAAACAGTTTAAACTCCATACAAAGTCAACAGTTTAACACAACATATCTAACTTATACACCAAACTTTCACAAATCAAACACATCATACGAACATTAATACATTAGGCACTGCTCAAAATTTCTGTCCGAGCCTTCCTTTAAAGCGACAAGGTCGGCAGCGAAATATCGAATGATTCACCAACGGAACAAAAACCGATACAAGTCCGACGACAATCTACTAATCTACCGAAAGGTAACATATTACAGGCATAACTCACATAGATGAAGTGTTCTGATATAACTACGACCTAAACAAAGAACATACGCTGTGTGTGTGTGTGTGTGTGTGTGTGTGTGTGTGTGTGTGTGTGTGTGTGTCAGAGAGAGACAGATAGAGCAATTACCAGGTACGAGATCCAGGCCCGTACTTCTTGGGGTGAGAATTCCAGACATTAGAGTGACCCATGATCGTCGGCTACTCGAACAAGGTAAGCTAGATGACCAACTGGAAACCCTAGAATTCGGCAGGAGGGGATACTCGAGAACGAAGAGGGAGTTTTATAGTGCGATTTAGTCAGTTAAGAAGCCCTACTTTTCTATATGGGCCGGGTCAAACAGGCCCAATTTCTGTGACAGACAAATTACAATTCTACTTTACCTATAGGTTTCTGTTAAAACGGAGTACGACTTTATTAAATATTTCAAATAAATATATGATTTTTGTTTTTAAATAAATATATAATTTTTTTTAATCAAAATTGTAAAATATTAAGGAAAAATAAAACAGACACTATCCGTGCTAAATTTAGCATATAAAATTGAGAAAGTGTGTATATATCACTTGTTCTACGGATATGCTAGTCGTACGGATCGGACCCGGGTAATGTACACATAATATCTATAGGTTTGGGTATTATTTTGACTATTTGGTGGATATTCGAAATAATTTCAATAACAATCTTTTATCTTTATTAACATTTAGAAAATTACCTTTATTCTTTTTTACGAGATCATTGTTTTTGTTGTTTTTGAAAAACTTACAAAATAATTTTAAGCGGGTTCTATTTGTTTGATTTTTTTTTCTATATGAACTGAAAAACATATCCTTATTTTACACGTTAAAATAAATGTTATAAAAAACAGACATTTTTTACCAACAAAAATTGTCACCGATACAATTTATCATATTTTAAATTTAATTTCGTAAAAGTAAACGATGTAGAATATTCCCGATGTACCGGATTCCACCTCTCAACATAGCTGCGCGGCATAACCGTCTTCTTAACAAACAGAGTATTCAACGATAAGGGCATTATCGTCATTTCGTTAACCGGTTTCCCGCTTCTTTTCCTCCATTTTTATGCTCACTCGAAATCAACTACTTTCGCAGTCTCGGAGACGAAAACCAGTCATAGCGGTGTAGAGAGAGAGACAGAGAGAGAAGATGAAGTTCCTCGGAGACTACAAGATCGCGACGGTGACCTTTCTGATCATCGCTCTTAGCGTCTACGTCGCGATCTACTGCCGCATCGACATCAACAGTTGCACCGCCGGATTACGCCGTCTCTTTGTTGACTTGACAGAGAACCGCACGGCGACCAGAACTTCCCGGAGACCTTTCTTCCCCGGTGAGGAGATACCGGGCTTGTACATGTCAATCGCCGAAGATCCAGATGATCGGTCATTCTCTCTCCAGTACGATTACTACAGAGAATCTTGCCCTTCCGCCGAGAGAATCATCCGAAGAGCTGTCAGAGAGCTCCACAATGTGAGACCCAGCGTTTCTCCGACTCTCATTCGCCTTCTCTTTCACGATTGCTTCATCGAGGTCAGTTTTGTGGTTCTTTCTTTTTCTTCTTCTCTATCTTTTCCTCTTCGATTCTTAATGTTTAAGGATCAAAGCGTTCTTCTGGATTTTCTTGTCGAAATTACAGAATTCTTCTTCTGTTTTCTTTCTTTCTCTGGCATTTTCCTTGCAGGAAAAAGAGTAAAGGGTCCCGAATCTGTTAACCTTTACTTCATATTTGTTATTTTGATGTCTCTGTTTCTGATTAAGCTGATTTTTGCCGGTTCTTGGTTGGATTATCTCAGAATTAAATTCTTCAACATCAATTCACTGCTTATATTAATCGTCTGCTAAATTTGTGTTTTATGTTCAAGAATTACATTCCAAAACTGTGATTTTAGGGGTTTAGGAATCTCTGAAACATTATTCGCAATTGGGAATCCGATTATCGTATGTTTAATTTGACACAAGTAGTAATTTTGATCCTGCAATCTGGCTCGTCATGTTTAGCTGTGACCCCTTTTGCTAAGTTCGACTTCGGGGTACAGGGATGTGACGCGTCGATACTTCTGGACCCGGATGAAAGTCTTGATTCTGAGAAAGATTCACCTCCAAACCAGTCCCTGAAAGGTTTTGATGTGATCGACACGATCAAGGAAGTGTTAGAGAACGTGTGTCCTGGAATTGTTTCCTGTGCCGATATTCTAGTCTTGGCTGCTAGAGAAGCTGTCCTCGTGGTAAAGCCCCTACCCCTAGAGACATTCATGTGCAAATGTACCTGTGACGTTCACAATGTCTTCCAAATTTTCAGGCGGGTGGGCCGTTTTATCCCTTGTACACTGGCAGGAAAGATAGTCTCGTGGCCTTCGGGGAAATGGCGACATATGAAATTCCTTCACCGCATGCTGGTCTCTCCGATACTCTGGCAAATTTCGCATCTCGGGGATTCGATGAGAGAGAAACCATCAGTCTCTTAGGTATTACTATATCTCAGCATCTCTCCTTTGTTTGCTCTCTCCAAAAATTCTTGGCCAAATCTTTCACTCCGTCCTGCGTATTTATGTGTGTTCTGATAAGTGATGATCGAATGCCTGCTATCTCGGTTTTGTTTCCTCACCTTGAAAGCTGATTGAATGATAAGTCCTGATTGTTTCTACGGAATAATTGCAGGAGCACACAGCATAGGCATTACTCACTGCCAGTTCTTCGAGAACCGTCTCTACAACTTCTCTGGAACCGGAAAACCTGACCCTTCACTCGATCCAGTGCTTCTCCAAGAACTGAAAACCAAATGCCAGCCAGGAAACTCGTCATCAGCTCCATCGCCATCATCATCACATTGGGCCGCTTCAGCACCTTCCTTCCCAGCGTCGGATTATTCCATGAACCCCCCAGGGTTAAGGTCCAAAGACACGACAGATCAGACAGTTGATATGACATTTGGGGAAGACAGTACAAGTGGCAGCTTCGGAACCCGCTACTTCAGAAGGCTGCTGAGGAACAAGGGGCTGCTCTTTGCTGATCAGCAGCTGATGGCGAGGGAAGATACAGCGATATGGGTGAAGGCTTACGCTTCATCGCCGTTCTTGTTCCACCGAGATTTCGCACTCTCCATGATGAAACTCTCCAACCTCCATGTATTGACCGGTCCTTTGGGTCAAGTCAGGAGGAACTGCTCAAAGGTTTCAGCACCTGATGATGATTCATAGATTACGGCGAGCTTATCGATTGATTTTTGAAGTTCACATCCACTTTTCGAACAAGGGCTTTTAACGATTTGTTTTTCTTGGAACTGTGTTTAGTTCCCAACCTTGGGGCATAAGCAACTTCTCTTCCCACTGTCCATCAAAATGACATATATAAAAATAATAACAATTTTAATAATATTTTGGAGATATGTCGAAATTATACATGAAGGCTTGAAGCATTTATTTCTTTTTTTTTCATATATATATAGTTCAACTGAATTTAATCTAATTTTAAAAAGATTCAATCGGTTTTTTAAATCGAAGTCCAAATTTTATCTGTTTTTAATTCAATTTTACACAACCAAACCAATATATGCATCCGATTAGTTGTAATAAAATTCGGTTCTATATATCCGAATATATATTTTCAAACCGAAATATTCACCCAATTGGCTGTAGTAAAAGTGTCCTAAATGAAATAGTGGGTTTAGTTCTACACAATTTAAAAAAAAACATTTTTTAACGGGATATATTCAATTAAAAACTAGGACTAATAATGAGTGACCTGAGCATTATAACAGATTAAATTTGTAGAAAGAGCAAAGTGAGATATGAATTCTGCCCCGACTTATTTCATTCCCAAAGTTCCAAACCATCAGACAAGAGAGTCGATGAATGGGGCATATTTAAGTATATGAGATTAAAAAAAAAAAAACAGGAAAACGACGCGAGAATACACCAAGAGATCCGCCACCAAATCCCTGTCTGAACGAATCAAATTAAGGATCTCCACTTGCACCAAAGCGGCCATGAGCTGAGGCTCCGATCAGAAGCAGCACATCTCGGTGCACATCTCGCAGACGCAGCAACAGCAGAGAGCGGCTAGGCTGTAACAATCCAATAATCAATTCATTTCAAACATCAGACACATTCCTATCCTCGGGATCTGCATTAGAATATACATATATATATATATATATATGTATGTGTGTGTGTACGTGTACGTATTCGGTTTTAGTGCTTACCATCCTTGAATACACCCACCGCTTGACGCCTGTTGCGGCGGAGGCTGCTGTGGCGGGTACGCCGGAGGGTACCCTTGTCCTTGAGGGGGGTATCCCTGCGGAGGATACGCCGGTCCCTGCGGAGGATATCCCGGCGGCGGATAACCTATCCCGGTTTAAGCCAAAAAAAAAACCCACAAGGATTCAGATCTCACCGTAACCAAACGGGATCAGTGTAACACACACGAACACACAATAACTCGAAATTCCACCGATTCTAATGCCACGCATTGATTTAAAAAAACGAATACAGTGAAAAACTGATAATAATCCAAAAAAAAAGAAAAAAAGATCAAAATCAATAAAAAAAAAAAGACATAATCAAACAGACCTTGAGCAGGAGCACCAGCAGGCGGCGGATACTGACTCATCGTTCCTTCCTTCTTCTTCTTCTTCTTCCTTCGTTGATATGATTCTCCGGCAGAAGATATTCTACCAAGTGAATTCAGACACATCTCTTATATAAAATGTGATTCCCTTCTCTTCCTCATTCTGTTTTTTTTTTCCTTTTTCGGAAATTATTTTCTTTATATTGAATGAAAAGTAAGTGACCAGTGAGGGTTTCGGGGGGAGCGATTAGCCGTTGAGATTTCGCCACGTCATCAGAAATCATATTGTGTGAGACGTGGCGAGTTCTAATAGGTTGAAAGGATTCGTTTGGAAAAGAAACAGGAAGGAAGGGAACTGTACCCAGAAAGGTAAAGACGCGTCACACAGCGCGTTCGAAGCTAATTTACATTTAAGGTAATAAATGGAATTAGTGAACGCCGAAGGTTTAAATAATTAATGACTTTTTTGGTAATTGTATTTTAATTTTGAAGAACTTAAAAAATACAATAAAATCTGTAAGAAAATCTTCAATAAATACACAAACAATTAATATATTTAGATGGAATAATATAATTAATAATATTTTTTTTATCAATTTGTTTATATTTTTATTAGATTTTCCAAAAAATTATTCTAGTTTTGAATTGATAAGAGAAAATTATTAACGATTTTTTAGAAAAAAATATTATTAAATCACGCTCTTTATTTTTCACATTGGAAAAAAAATAAAACTTTTTCACTGTTTAGTTATGTCGATTTT